TTCTGCTCTGTACGGCTTGGCTGCTTGGCCCCGCGGCCGGCCCTGGCGGCATGGCTGCCCCCTCTGGTTGCTAATAGGAGCTGTTAGGGGAGGAGTTTGGGGTCTCCACACGATGCCTAGAGAATGCTGCAGTCTGCACACTAGACGCTTTTTAGAAGTTTTGGAATCACCTTGATTTTTCTAATTGTTATGAAAATAAATCTTTTCTCGACTCTCTCCCACATGCTCTGTAATCGGGAGAGAATTCCCCTTGCCCACTATGATGTATAGACCATTCTCCCTACACCAGCTGAACAAATGTCAAAATTAATAAAGAAATTGACTCACGGCACGCGGCTCCATCTGTCCTTCTCGGTTCATCCTTGGGGGATTTGAGGGGCTGAGGCAGGAGTGAAGCCTGAGGGTGGATCAGTCAGCAGGGTGGCCTGCACCCTAACGAGGTGCCCAGCTTCCGGAAAGCTGGACAGTCCCCCGTAATCAGGGCCACCCACTCTGGGAGCAGCTCCCCAACCCCTGAGATGGTGGAGCAGATTTCTGACATACCTAATGACTACAAGATGGGCTAGTCCAAGGTGGGGGGGGGGGACATCACAAACCACCAAGGTACATGGCTGAGCCCGTGGCTGGCATACACTCAGGGGGAGCCCCTAGCGACCCCTGTGAAGGCGTCTGGCCCCTGCACTAATGCCATTCAAAGATGAAGAACTCTGGGGAAAAGCACCCTGTTCCTAACAATTAGTTCCTAACACTGCGTGCAAGGCTGGCCATCACCACTGGCCTCAGTTTCCTCATCTGTCAAATGGGAGAACAGATTTAGTGCTTGTGTGTCATCCTGGGATCCCGGAACATGAATGCCATTGCCAAGTTGACATTAAATAAGAACCAAATCACTCACGGCAGCTCTTCTTTCTCAGAAGTCCCCATCGTTGCCGGTGACAGCGTCACGGGGGCAGGTTCCTAGGAATACCCCCAGCCCTCACTCTGAACTTCTCTCTCAGCAGCAGAAAAGCCACCCAGACCACGGGGCCAGCCAGGGCTGTGCAACCGCATGGCCCAGAGGGTTTTCAAAAGCACAAGTTCATTTGCCTGGGTGGGGCTCGGGGGCAACACTGGGATTTGGAACTAAGTTTCCTAAAATAGCGGCTTGGTAGCACAGCCTACTCAGATGGATTAAAACCTTTTTCTTGTTTTTAATCCAAACTTCTAGAAAAACAATTCCATACACAGCTATTGTGAGGCCTTTCTTGCATTGAGTTATGCTAGAGAGAGCATGGCTCAGAGACCAGCTCCACCATGAGCGGCGTGGGGAGTCGGGCTCTGAGCGAGAGGGAGCCCCCTGACTCCTGGGTCGTCGGCTTCCCGCTGGAAACCAAGCTGGCAAAAGGGCGCTTCTGGTCTCCCACCTGCCAGAGCATGCCTGTGGGGAGTGAGAGCCCAGGAGCTCACCGCGGTCAGGAAAGGCGTGGGGCCGGGCAGAGGAGGGACAGAAGTCAACCCGCCCAGGAGTCACTCTTTTTCCTGGCATTTGGTCTGTTCAGACCGGTAACATGCTGATTTCCATGAACAAAACCAGACACTGCAAGAAAGGATGCTGCCCCTTAACCAAGTCATTCACTGCTATTTCCCTGTTTGTAAAATGAGAGCCCAGAAAAGCCTTGTATGTTGAAAAAATTCAGGGGGGGGAGGGGGCATGTAGGTGCTCTGTGATTCAATCCAGTTTTATCCATCAAAAATACACTGAGCGCCAACCAAGTGCCCGGCACAGGGAACCACTGCTGAAGCAACAGCTTCTCAGCCAACAAAGATTCCCAACCCAGGTGCCAGACCAGACAGAATATGGCAATTGCCCCAGCAGAGGCACGAATGATTCCTCAGTGGAGAAGGAAGGGACGACAGAGGTGATCAGGGAAGGCTGCCCAGAGGCAGAGGCAAGAAGAACACACACCCAGCATGCCCAGAGCTGCCCCCTCTGCCTGGCAGACTCCCACCCCCAGGCTCTCAGGCCAGCCACAGGGGTCTGCATTCTCCTCCCGAAAGCCCAGCCTCCCCACTTACCCATCCCAGCAGGGAGGAGGGAAACAGGCATCCACGCTCAGACTGCACACACCCATGGAGGCTGGGGCATCTGCCCCCAGGGGCCTGACCCAGCACCTCCGGACAGCGAACCCTGAACGGGGCCTCCTGCCTTCAGGAGAGCAGCTGCAAGAACTGAGACTGACAGCCAGCAGCTGCCTCAGGAGCCTCCAGCCCCCACCCACCCACCTTTCTAGATGCTGGATGGACTTGGGGACCAGGAGCAGGTGGACCCTCTGAGAATGAACAGAGCTTTCAGAGCTCTCTCTCTCTCTCTCTCTCTCTCTCTCTCTCACACACACACCCACACACACACACACACACACACACACAGGCTGATTTTACAGTCAATCTTTCAAAGTGCAATTTGTCTAGGAAAAGCCAATGTGAGGCCCATGTGGATTTCAACCAATGGCGACGCAGCTGGCGCGGCTCAGCCAGTCTCCGGTCTGTATTCTAATGGGCCATATCTTTATCAGGGAAATGTGGCTTCTCTGAACTTAAAACTTCTCATGGAGGGTCCCCAGACTCCGAGGCAGAGGAGGGGTCTGAGCTGAGGCGTGGGAACTGCCTTTCCCTGGGCCTGGCAGGGAGAGAGGGAAGGGGTGCGGGCAGGCTCTCACCTGGCCCGGAGCACCTGACTTCCGAGCAGGTGACGTGGGCGACAGTCCCTGGGCGGCAGCCGGGCCGATGCCTTAGGTGGGAAGGCGGTGGGATCCGGGGCCACTTTTGAGCCTCCAAACCTACCATGGGATTCTGGGCCCGATCTCGGGGTCTCAGGGTTTAGGAGCCTGGATTTGGGCTTCCTGCCCCCCCTCACCCTGACCCAGGGAACATGGAGTCCAACCTGCAAGG